AGGTATGGTTTTAAGATGTTGAGCTGCGAAGTTGAAAAGGATTAGAATTGTAATGATTACTGTATTGAAAAGGATTAGAATTGTAATGATTACTGTATCAACTTAGTGGATATTTTTGTATGAGATTAACATTTATTTATTAATTTGGTAAACTTTGGGTACATCAGATTGCCCTCCATGATGTAGGTGGGCCATAATCAATAAGTTGAAGGCCTTAATAGAACAAAATATACTCTTTCAGAATAAGGGGGAATTCTTTAGCAATGGCCTTAGACTTTATCTGAAACATTGGCTCTCGGGTCTCCAGCCTGCTGACCCACAATGCAAATTTTAGACTTCCCTGCCTCCACACTATCATGAGCAAATTCCTTATAATAAATCTGTCTAGATATATATTCACATCATATTACCCTATTTCTCTTGAGAACCCTAATACATCATTTCTCAAAAAGGTAAAAGGCTCAAATGTTTGTTCTTCTCCACTACAAATTTTAGTGTCAACAATCATTAACAGGGGCTGTGGCTGTGGTTCAGTGGTAGCGCACTTGCCTGGCATGTATGAGGCGCTGGGTTCGATTCTAAGCACCACATAAAAATAAAATAAAGGTCTGTCAACAGGGCTGGGGATGTGGCTCAAGCGGTAGTGCGCTCACCTGGCATGCGTGCGGCCCGGGTTCGAACCTCAGCACCACATACAAACAAAGATGTTGTGTCTGCCGAAAACTAAAAAATAAATATCAAAAAAATTCTCTCTCTCTCTCTCTCTCCCTCTTAAAAAAAAATTTTTAAAAAAAAGGTCTGTCAACAACTAAAAAAAATAAAATCATGTAACAGGGGGTGAGAAAAATAGAAATTCACTGGATTATACAAAGGGGAATGAAGGGAAGGGTGGGGGAATTGGAATAAGAAAGAATGAATCGGTATAACTTTCTTATGTTCATATATGTGAAACTCCACATCATGTCCAACCACAAGAATTAGAATGTTATACTCCATGTATGTATGTCAAAATACACTATACTGTGATGTATATCAAGAGAACAAATGAAAAAAAAAATCATGTAACATGTGGGAGACCAACTTTGCATATGACTGAGTCACACTCCCTGGCTGGGTGCTGAGGCGCTCAGTCACAGAAATGTGGCAGAGCTTTCCCCACCCTTTTTGGGTTCCAGGGTCAGTGTCTCGTGCATGGATGTGTCTTGCTACAGCCCCATGGGTGAAGCTATGCTCACCTGTTCCTTTGTAATATAACCCCTTGCCCTGTTTAAGATAGAATGTTCCATGGAAGTGCCTTGTGTGTGTCCCTTCTCTTACTGTGGCCTTGGGTGTGTGGCCTACCCAGATGTCAGTCAACCTGCTAACAATGAACATCATGAAGATAAGTCTCAGTCCCCTGAAACCTGACCCCTTGCCTCATTTGAATAGCTTCTCCTCAATAAAAGGGGTCAGCGCGCGCGCGTGTGCGTGTGCGCGCGCGCTCTCTCTCTCTCTTCCTGTGGAACCTTAAGTTCAGAGAAGCCGTCACAGCGACCCCAAAGAAAAAGGTATTTGTGTCTCTTGTGTGGTTATTTTGTGCAGCCCAGTTAGCCCAGTTTACCTGGAGTGACCCCTGAGCCTTTTAGTCGTGAGAACAGAAACCCAGCAGTAACATACTTTGTATTCTTGCATATAAACTTGCTGTATCACATGCCAGAAATGATACTGTCACACAACATAGAAGACAGAAATGATTGACCAAAGTGGAAAATGACATTCACAAGGTGAAAATGTAGCATGGACCTACCAAATTGTTAGCTGCAGGGTGGGCTGAACACTCCATCCCCAACCATCTGGTTCTTTATTGCTTGTTTGCCTCAAGGCTGAACACTCAACCCCATTCAAGGCTGAACACAACTCCCACTCATCTGGTGCAACAGAAACCTACATTCGGGACCCCTATCTGGTCTGCCTCAGGGCAGAAGATGATACCCTTAGCAACTACTCTATGATCCAATCACTGTATGCCAACAAGGCAGCTTGTAGACTCAGAGACCCCATTAGATTTTAGCTATAAAAACTCTTTCCTGGGGGCTGGGGATGTGGCTCAAGAGGTAGCGTGCTCGCCTGGCATGTGTGCGGCCAGGGTTCAATCCTCAGCACCATATACAAACAAAGATGTTGTGTCCACCGAAAACAAAAATAAATAAATAAATAAATATGTAAAAAAAAATTCTCTCTAAACAAACAAACAAAAACTCTTTCCTTCCGGGCTCCCTCCATCTTCCTCTTGCACTTTGTCCCCCGCCCCTTTCTCTCTCTCCCTCTGACTTTGCTCTCTCCCTTCCTTTCTTCTCTTTACCTGTTCTCTTTTTCTCTTCCTTCCCTGTCAGACACAGCCAAATAAAGATCTCTTGGTCGCTCCAAGTGTCCTGGTTACTTTCCTTTCACATATGACAATATAGTTTTGTTGTTATGGAAACATACTTTAACAACAAAACCACTAGAAAAGCCACACAAAGGTGATGTTAAGCTTATAAAATCCCAGGTATGAGTGATTAAAGATGGCTGCAAATTCTTTACCTTTTCCCTTTTAGAAGTGAAGTGTAATTTACTTCCTCTTACATCTGAGCTGGCCTTAGTGATTTATTTCGCCAATTATCATGTGGCAGAAGTGACATTCTAGAAATTTCAAGGTGAGGTCATAAAGCTTGCAGAATATGCCTAGGGTTCTTAGAACATTCTCTGGCAGCTCAGAGCTCTGTAGGCATTCTGGTTGCCAGTCCCAGCAGAGGCCAGGCAGAGGTCAGACTTCCCTCATCCCCACCCCCTGCAAAGTTGACAGTGTAAATAACTTAAAGACTGCAGACTAGCCCAGCTGAATTCTACCTGATGACCTCTGTTAACACCAATAGAAGATTATCTGGCTGAAACCTGATCTACTTTTTGACCACACAATCATGAGATTTAAGAAAGTTTGTTTTAAGCTAAGGTAGTTTGTTAAGCTGCAATACAATTCTGCCTACATTGTACTTTCTATCTACTCTTTCTCTTCTATAGTCCCCAAATTTCAATCTTAATCTTTTTCTTTTTAAAAATATTTATTTAAGTATCTTTAGTTTTAGATGGATACATTAGTTTGTTTTTATGTGGTTCCAAGGATCAAACCCAGTGCCTCATGCATGCTAGGCGAGCACTCTACCACTGAGCCACCACCCCAGCCCCTCAATCCTAATCTTCTTAAAGCCTTCCTGTTTTCCCACATTAGGATACTTTTACCTAATAATGTGTAACTAGATGAGTATTTCATTTGTTTGGAACAGTTCCAATTTGTGCCTATTTGTGTTTATTTTTGAATGCTGGGGATTTAACACAGCCTCTTAGCCTATGTTCTACCACTGAGTTCTATTCCTCTAAAAAGTGTTTTTTTCTAAAAAGTGTTTGTTTTTTTTTTTTTTTTAATTTGTCAGTGCTAGGGATCAAACCTAGGGTATTGAATGTTAGGTTCTACCACTGATAGTAGCTTTACCACTGATAAACCCTCAGAACCAAAAAAGTGTCCCATCTTATTCAATAAACCATTTGGTCATTCTGTCCTTAATTGTCCTATTTGAAATAGTAGAGAAATGTCTTCTCTCTAAACTATGTACAAGGTTACTTCAAAGCAAGGATGTTTTTCTTTAAAAAATATCTGAGCACATACAATGTGCTACACATCATACAACATGCTGACCTGAATATCTTTATTCCCCAGTGCTTTGAGTAACAGGCTGTTAGGCCACAACACTTCAAGGTCCTGGGTGTTCTCAAGAATTTGGTAAGAATGTGGGCTGGGACTTGAGTAGTTATTTTCATGCTGTTTTACTATGGAAATAGTACACAGGCAGCACAAAGAGGATTCATATGGGATTAAGAACACATGGTGTTAGGGCTGGAAGTATAACTCAGTGGTACAGTACATGCAATGCATGAGCAAAAATCTCCAGCACCAAAAAACAAAACGAATAATGCATGATATTAGAATGGATATGACTTCTGGGAAAGTCCCTTTTCCTAGCAGAGGCACACTTCAAGTTTCGGACCTGTGCAGTGAGAAATCCAGTAGAGCCCAGAAGCTGGGCCCCCTATCTTAGGCTGGTGGGAAAAGGAAGGGACCCAATCAATGTCCAGGGCTTGGGATCCTATTTTCTTGCTATACCACAAACACATAACTTAGTTACTAATGCAATACTTTTCTTTCATTGGTATTGGGTCTAACTAAGAAATGAGTGTAGCAACTGGCCATGACCACTCAGAAAGACATTTAGGAAAAGCTTAATGAAAAAATCCAGTAGCACTTTATCATTAATGAAAACCACAGAAAAGTATAACCAGCTTACCTAGCTGATAAAACAATGGAAACAAAGTGCTAAAAACCTAATTGTTTGGGTTTTATTTCTAAATCAATCATCAATCTGCTTAAGATTTCTTTTATACATCTGGTATTTATTTATCTATTTGTACCAAGAACTAAATCCAGTAGTGCTATACCACTGAGCCACATCCCCAGTCCTTTTAATTTTTTCAGACAAGGTCTTGCTAAGTTGCCCAAGCTGGCCTTGAGCTTGTGATCCTCCTGCTTTAATCTCTCAAGTAACTGGAATTATAGGTGTACGCCACTATACCCAACTTCTCTGGTCTTTACTTTTAGGAGACACCTCTTCTCTTCCCCACACTTTTTGACATTTGATCTTTCAATGTAAATATATTTTTATTAAAAAAATTTTGTAGTTGTAGATGAACAGCATTTTCTTTATTATTATCTTTTTAAATTTTTGTGTAGTGCTAAGGATTGAACCCAGTGCCTCATACGTGCTAGGCAAGCACTCTGCCACTGAGCCCCAGCCCCAGCCCTCAATGTAAAATATTCTTAGAAAATAAACCAGTGTCGATTAAGTTCATAATAAATTTTATAAGAAGAAAATGCTGTTATTTTCGAATGTTTGGAACAGTTGTCAGAAAATAATAAAATGACAGGAACATTTACAAATGTTGAAATTATTTACTGAGCTATGAATTCTTGGCAGAGAAAAGGATTTTTGAAGTATCTGAATCCACCTATTACAGAAAACAAGAATGACTTCTAGAATGCCTCTCACATATTTAACCATCCTCTTCAAATCCTTCCCAAATTTGATACACTTCATCTCAAAAAAAGAACAAAACCCATTTTTAATCACTTAAAAGAATTAAAAAAATAGGGGATTAGAGAACAGTCACATCCTTGAAGCAGCTCTGCATATGCAGAACACAGTACTGGCTTCAAAAAAATATAGATTCTGTGCACTTGCATTACTTAAATGTGAAGAGCTGCCATCCTCTTCCTTTATAAAATTAGGAAGCTGTATTCATTCAAGCACATTAACTTCATTGTACTTCATATAGTTTTATACTTGGAATGAGGCTGGAAAAAAACATTAGCACAGAGCTGTTAATAAAACAACTTTAAAACATTAATTATTGTGAAATAGGATCAAATGAAAATCAACCTTGGATTAACACATTTCTGATTACATAAATAAGTTACTTTCTTTACTAAAAATTTCCGCTATCAGAAGATCCTGATTAAAATAAAGAAATATATAAAACTGGAACAGGAAGTAAAAGTGATTGATTGGTTCATCTCAGAAGGTCCACTGGCCCAATTGCCAGCCACAGAAGTCTCTAAGTTCTCAACGGAGTGTGACCAGTTCTTCTGAAGAGGTAGGATGAATGGCAACCGTGTTGTCAAAGTCAGCCTTAGTTGCTCCCATTTTCACTGCAACAGCAAAACCCTGCAGCATTTCATCACAACCAATTCCCTGCATATGGATCCCAACCACCTAGGGAAAAAAGAAATTATGAAAGAGAAATTATTTATTTGGTGTACAGTGATGAGAGGAAATATGACATTAAAAAACCCTATAGGCTGGATGTGCAGTGCAGTGTGCTTGCTTAGCATGCATGAGACCCTGATTCTATCCCCAGCATGGCAAAAACTAAAATGAAACAAAAAAAAACTAAAAAAACTTAGATTTTTTTTTTTTTTTTTGTGGTGCTAGGGATTGAACCCAGGGCCTTGTGCATGTGAGGCAAGCACTTTACCAACTGAGCTACTTCCCCAATCCCTTAGAATATTTTTAATCCTAATTTGGCATAGCACTGTGACCCTGGACAGGCCTGCTTCAATGTCCTCCTCGAGCCCATATCAAACAGCTATTCCTCAGGTTCTCTTCACTCTGTCCCATGTACCAACCATGTTCTCTTTTGCACAATGTGTCCCTCTGTTTGTTCTCCCTCTCTTAAGAGCTAATGATTAAAAGAGCCATAGAGTAGTGTCTTTCAGACTAAATTAAATTCCATCGCATGAACTCTCAGTGCCAATAGTTCTCTGTCATGGTCCTATCATAGTCAGAATTTAATCACTACTTGAAGGGGATCCCTTCTGCTTCTGCTCCCCGCTCTATCCCCATGGCTGAACATAATAATGGCACTTGGGAAGTACTCAATCCAAATATGCTGTTTGGCTATGTGAAGGATGTAAAGAGCATTTGTTTCTAATCAAATTTCACCATGAAGTTTCTCAATATGTTGTCTATCTTCAGCAAACAGTTCTATAATATATTTATCATTCCATTAAAAAGCAAAAATTAGCTAGGTGTGTGTGGTGCTGCACACCTGTAATCCCAACAACTCAGGAGGCTGAGGCAGGAGGGTCATAAGTTTGAGGACAGTCTTAGCAACTTAGCAAGACTCTGTCTCAAAAATACTGGAAATGTGGCTCAGTGATAAAGCATCCCTGAGTTAACTCCCCAGTACCAATTTGGGGGGGTGGGGGGAGAGAATACACTTAACACTACTGAACTGTCCACTTAAAAATGGTTAAGATAGGGGCTGTGGCTGTGGCTTAGCGGTAGCGCACTTGCCTGGCAAGTGTGAGGCACTGGGTTCAATTCTCAGCACTGCGTATAAATAAATAAAGTTCTATAAACAACTAAATGGTTAAGATGTAGACCAGCTCCACTGGCAAAAAATGAAGTTTCCTACTTTCATCCTTATACAAGGGTAACTGAAATAACCTAATGTTAACTAGTTATTTTCCTATTATCTGTCTCCCCATCTCTGTTTCACAAGAAAAGTAACTTTGAAATGAACAATATGGTTTTTGTTCTTTGTTTCTATTTTCTTTAGCCTTTTTCTACAAAACTCCAACTTATAGGAGCTCTCATTCTATTTTATGGAACGAGGTATTACCTGATTTTTGATTAAAAAATAAAGCCAATTAAGATAGTTTTTTTAAAAAAAATGTATTTCTAGTTATAGATGAACACACTACCTTTATTTATTTTTTTTTATGTGGTGCTGAGGATCTACCCCAGTGCCTCACATGTGCTAGGCAGGTACTCTACCATAGAGCTACAACCTCAGCCCCAAATAAGATAAGTTTTTTTAAAAAAATTAAAAAATCCCAAATCAAATATCATGTGTGCATTAAACAGCAAGGTCTACTAACATCCAACTGATCTTACAAAGAGTCTCTGGTGATGGCAGGAACCGCATATATTCTGCCTCTCCATATTGCAGGTCTTACTTAGTCTTTAGAAGACTGCCAAGTAATACTCATCAAATGAATGAATGATGATGGCTGACATGAGGAAATAACTTATATAACAAGATAAGCAGGGATCCTGCTGACCAATATCAAGAAATCTTAGGCTATGAATGAGCCATCAGGACTGAGATAACAAGCTCTGTTTTGCCGCCACCCTCCTCCTCTGCTCTGGTTCTCAGCTTCTGTCAGTCCTTGGGGGTGCTGAATTCTGTAAATTAGGGACTATATCTGGGTTTTGGCTCACACTAAATTAGACACACTATACTCTTTTTTGACAACAAAAGTTGGAAACAATATCCAAATCTTCATTTAAACCATTGTCCCAAGCAATACTGATTACCCGCCCCCCCCCAAAAAAAAACCACCCAAACAAACAAAAGTACATTCTCATTCCTAACAGTTGGGTGGGGATACAGGTTACCAGTAGAGTGCTTATCTGGCATGCCTGAGCCCTTGGGTTCAATCCCCAGCACAGGGGGTGGGGAAGATCCTCATTTTAAGCAATATTGCTAAGTTCCATTTTACTATTTAACTAGAAACAGCCTAATAGTCTGGCTGAGGACCAAAATTAAAACTGCTATTATTTTTTAAAATATTTTTTAGTTGTTGATGTACCTTTATTTTTTATTCATTTATGTGTGGTGCTGAGGATCAAACCTAGTGCCTCACACATGCTAGGCAAGTGCTCTGTTACTGAGCCACAACCCAGCCCTATTATTATTATTATTTTTTTTTAGTTATTGATGGACCTTTATTTTATTTATTCATATGTGGTGCTGAGAATTGAACCCAGTACCTCACACATGCTAGGCAAGTGCTCTGTTACTGAGCCACAACCCAGCCCTATTATTATTATTATTATTTAGTTATTGATGGACCTTTATTTTATTTATTCATATGCAGTGCTGAGAAATGAACCCAGGGCTTCACACATGCTAGGCAAGTGCTCACCACTGAGCTATATTCCCAGCCCTAAACCTTTTTTTTTTTTTTTTTTTGGTGCTAGGGATTGAACCCATGGCCCTATGCTTGTGAGACAAGCATTCTACCAACTGAGCTATACCCCCAGCCCCAACCTATTTTTTTAATGTCAAAATAAAACTGATTCAAATGCAAATCAAAACTACAATGAGATATCAATTCACACCCACCTGGAATGGCTGTTAATGAAAAAGATAAGACAACAGCAATTGTTGGCAAAGGAGTGAACAAAATAAAAACCTTATACATTACAGGGGTGCAGGGGATATAAAATGGTGCAGACACCAAGAATAATTCAGCAGGCTCTCAAAAACTTAAAGGCATAAATTAGAAAAAATAGCTGAATAAACTACTTCACCATTTTATGTTAAACTCAAAATTATATTATATTCTAACCTTTACCAGTATTTTGTTTCCTATCTATTCTGGTCTACTGGTCAATGTTGACCAGGTCTTGGTGTTTTTTTTTTAATAGCTGTTTTTGTTTTTTAGTTGTAGTTGAACACAATACCTTTATTTCTTTATTTCATGTGGCGCTGAGGATCAAACTCAGTGCCTTATGCATGCAAGGCAAGAGCTCTGAGCCACAACCCCAGTCCAGTTTTTCCTTTAAAAATTTTTTTTTTTTTTTTATAGTTGTAAATGAACAGAATGACTTTATTTTATTTGTTTACTTTTATGTGGTGCTGAGGATGGAACCCTGTTGAGAGCCACAGCTGAAGGGGCCCCAGCAAACTTCCAGCTGCCAGCAGATGATTGGCTCACAGCGGCCCCAGCAAACTTCTAGCTGCCAACTGATTGACTCCTCTGCGGTGATGCTCATTGGGCTGTTTCCCCGCCCTTTCAGACCACGGAGCTGCTCATTGGGGGACTTTTCTTTGGCTCTGCCCACGCAACCCAGCCAATCAGCCTCAAGAGCAGGAGGAGTGGGGGAGGTGGAGAGGCTTGTGGGAAGCCGGTGGTGGCAGTTGGGCTCTGCAGGTTTTCCTGAGGAGCTGTTTTGTTTGGCGTGTGTGGTTCTAAAAATAAAGTTCATTTCTTTTGACAAGTGGCTCCTGAATTGTGCCCAGCCAGACTGCGGCAGAACCCAGTGCCTCATCCATGCTAAGCAAGTACTCTGCTGCTGAGCTACAGCCCAGCTCATCTTGGTGTTTTTTGTTTTTTTTTTTAATAAGGATTTTTTTTTTAAGACGGATATCTTTATTTATTTTATTTATTTATTTATTTTTTTATGTGGTGCTGAGGATAGAACCCAGTACCTCACAAGTACAAGGCAAGTGCTCCACCGCTGAGCTATAACCCTAGCCCCCATCTTGGTGGGTTTTGATCCTATTTTTTTTTTTTTTTTGTGCTGGGGATTGAACCTAGGGCCTTGCAGATGCGAGGCAACTGCTCACTTGCCTAACATGTGACATCCCCAGTCCTTATCCTCATTTTTTAAGGGAAATGCAAAGTTCTTTCTAAATAAAACACTATGAAGGACAAATTATATATATGATATATATACATATATACATAATATATAATATGACATATATATTATGTATATATGTGTGTGTATATTTTATATATATATATATATATATATATATATAATATGTATATATAGTTGATAAAGTAGAACTGCCTAGTTGAACCCGTAAGCTTACCTACTTGGTCTCCCCCATCTCCTGTCCCAGACAACTACCAGCATCCCTGTCAACTTTACAAAGCATTGTTTAGCTTACTGAATTCTTTTCATACCTTTTCCTCTTTGTTGGCACAAACCATTTTCATCACACATTTAGTTTTCCTTGTGGTCACTGCGTGATACATTGGGGTAAACGTGGTTGAGTAGATCTTCACATTATCTTTTCCATATTTATTAACAGCCTCATCTATAATGCACATTAAAAAAAAGCATTTATCAAAAAAGAAAAAAAACCTAAATAATTACACTGAGCTATCAAAAAGAAAGTTGGGCAGAAATACTTAGCCTAAGTTAAATCACAAGATGTATCAAACAATACCAAAATAAAGGACATTCTACAAAGTAAATGTCGATGGCACTAAAAAAAAAAAAAAATAAAAAATATAGACAGGCTCAAGAATTTTGTCTCTTGATTAAAGGATACTCTAGAGGTATAAAAGCTACTGGTAATACATCATCTGGACTAAATTCTGGACTTGAGGGAAAAAATGTAAAAAATGACATTAGATAATTGGCAAAATTTGCATAAGATTTAAAGTTTAGGTAATACTGTATCAATTGAAGTTTTCTCATTTTGAAAACTGTATTGTGTTTATATAAGGGAACAACCTTGTTTTTAACAAATAGATACTTAAATGTGTATGTATATAGCGTGAAAAAACTGATAAAGCAAAATTATTAAAGATATATAGGAATCCTTTATACTCTTTTTGCAATTTTTGTTTAAATTTAAAATTAGTTCAAATAAGTAAGCTAAGAACCATCAGAAAGACAAACAGGGTAGTGTGGAGAAAAGAAACCATACTTTCAAAATATTAGTAGCTGAGGAATAAATTGGAGCTGGTAGTACCCAGAGACTAACCAAAAAAGGAGTGTAATTTGGGGGCTGAGAAAGATTTAGTGGGCCAACAAGAGAACAGAAGTAATAAAATGACCTTGTTTTAAATACCTACCTTCTGTGAGTCCAACCGTCCCAATAGGGGGATGACTGAAGACCACAGTGGGGATGTTGTCATAGTCTAATTTGGAATCTTCTTTGCATTCAAAAAGTCTATGGGCAAGTTTCCGGCCAGCAGCTATTGCAACTACAAAGACATTTTAAAATCAGTGTTTATCTTACTGTTCATTTTTTTTTTCAAACATTTATTTTTTAGTTGTGAGTAGACATAATACCTTTGCTTTATTTTATTTTACAAGGGATCGAACCCAATACCTCACACCTGCTAGGCAAGCGCTCTTCCTCTGAGCCCCAGCCCCAGCCCCTTACTGTTCATTTTAACAGCAGAATTGTTCTACTATCTATTTATCTATCTGGCATGATATAATAAAGTTTTCTCGTTTTGAAAACTGTATTGTGTTTACATAAGGGAACAACCTTGTTTTTAACAAATAGATACTTAAGTGTGTATGTATATAGATTGAAAAAATGATAAAGCAAAGAAAACATATCAAGCTTTAGTTAACAATTCAAAACACTGACATATAAGAATTCTTTACCATTTACTATCAAAACAAAAACAGAAAAACAAGCTACATTGGTAAGTTTCCAAACATCTGGCAGTAAATCTATTTAGTGATGATATTAGCTTTCTGATACTTTTAAAAAAATTGTATTTTATTATTTTTAAATACCTTTATTTATTTATTTTTATGTGGTGCTGAGGATCGAACCCAGCACCTTGCAATTCCTAGGCGAGCACTCTACCAATGAGCCACAATCCCAGCCCCCTGATACATATTAATGGAACAAATTAGTTTTGCACATCTCTGATTCTATTCATAACCATATTCATTTCACAGTAAGATATTTTAACATAAGAGGTTACTCTTGCCAGGTGAGTAAGCCCAGCTACTCAGGAGGTTGAGGTAAGGAGGATCATAAATTTGAGGCCAGCCTAAGTAACTTAGCAAGACCCTGCCTCAAAATAAAATTTTAAAAAGGGCTGGGGAGGTAACTCAGTGATTGAGTGCTTGCCTAGTATGCCCAACACCCTGGGTTTAATCCCTAGCACTGAAAAAAACAAAACAAAAACCTAGAAGTTTATTCTCCTTAGCCCTTTTTATTCCTAACAGTCTTACATTTGGGGGTTTGGGGAGTATAACAGTATCACAGAGCTTGCCTAAAATGTGCAAGGACCTAAATTTGATCCCCAACACTAGAAACTTTTTTTTTTAGTCAGCACAACTAAGTCTTTTTTTTTTTTTTTTTTAAGAGAGAGAGAATTATTTTAATATTTATTTTTTAGTTTTTGGTGGATATAACATCTTTATTTTATTTTTTATGTGGTGCTAAGGATCGAACCCAGCGCCCCACGCATGCCAGGCGAGCACTTGAGCCACATCCCCAGCCCACAACTAAGTCTTAAGAGATCTACTGTAAAATGTTGACTATTGTTAATAACAATATATTATATACTTGAAAATTGCTAATGGAGTAGATTAAAGTGTTCTCACCAAAACAAAACAGAAAGATACACATGTGAGGTAATATATACCTTACCTAGCTTGTCTTAGACATCCACAATGTATAAATACTTCAAATCATGTTATATATACACTCTCTCTCTCTCTCTCTTTTTAAATTCAATTAAAAAATAAATTAGAGCCAGGCATGGTGACGCTTGCTTATAATCCTAGGAATTTGGGAGGCTGAGGCAGGAGGATTGCAAATTCGAGGCCAGGCTTAGCAATTTAGCCATGCCCTAAGCAAACTAGCAAGGCTCAAAATAAAAAGGGCTGGGGATGTGGCTCAGTGTTAAAGCACCCCTGGGTTCAATCTCTATTACCAAAAATAAAAAGTTATAAATAAATAATAAATTAGGATCCAGGCACTGTGACATATGCCTGTAATCCCAGCAATGCCAGCTACTTGGGAGGCTTACCTTAGGAGGATCACATATACTTGGGCAACTTAGTGAGACCCTGCCTTAAAAAAAAAAGCTGGGTGCAGTGACACACACCTGTAATCCCAGTGGCTTGAAAGGCTAAGACAGGAGGATCGTGAATTCAAAGCCAGCCTCAGCAATGGCAAGGCACTAGGCAATTCAGTGAGACCCTGTCTCTAAATAAAATACAAAATAGGGCTGGGGATATGGCTCAGTAGTTGAGTGCCCCTGTGTTCAATCCCTAGTACCAAAAAACAAACAAACAAAAAATAAAGAAATTACCACCAACAATACAAAACAAAATAAAAAATAAATACAGGTGGTGGTGGGGGAAGAGAGCTTCTAAAGCAAATAAAAGAATTGGGGTGTGGAACAGGATAGGTTTCCATCCTGAAGCAACATCCCCAGGGCACTTTAGAAAATCTGATGAAGTCCTTCAGAAAGATGGATCAAAATCTGAAGGAATGACATCATTAACTAGATAAAGGTAAGACAAAGAACTTGGAATGTGATCCTTAACTCAGGACATGGGTTGAGGTCCTGGATGGGGGAATCAAAGAGAATCAGTTACAAGGCTAATCTAAATGACTTCTTCCAAAAGCCATTTCCACTGTCAACACAAAACTGTGACTCAAAGACTTCAGAGGGTGACCATATCGTATACACAAAACCTTTGGTCATTGCTAAGCATTTTCTTTTTAATATATATATTTTTTTAATTGTTGATAGATCTTTATTTTATTTATTTATATGTGGTGCTGAGAATCAAACCCAGTGCCTCACTCTTGCCAGGCAAGTGTGCTACCACTGAGCCACAGCCCCAGTCCCTATTGCTAAGCATTTTCTTAAGTCTTTTAAAGAAAATTGAATATGGTTCAGAAAATGTCAGGCCTCCAAATCAACATCCATGTCAATACATTTTTACCATTTTGATGATATGAAGATACTTTGCTGAAGTGGATTTGACTATGAAAAGCTGAACAGTTTTATATAGCACACAGGGGACCAGCATTACCTGGAGTAAGAAGAGCTTTCCCACACACGTCCCCGACAGCGTAGACACCTTTGACATTGGTATTCTGGAATTCGTCTACTATAATATGACCTTTCTCATCAGTTTGAATTCCCTAAAATTATGAAGGGATATCACATGAATACTAATTTATCTACTAAAAATCAAAGAGCCAAGCTCTACATCTGCCTCAATATGCACGACACCCCTTTACCTGAGCATCCAGGAACCAACCACAAGACTTAACACAACTTGAAAGTGTGTGAAGTTGGCAAGTTTGTATCTTTGTTTAATGTAACAGGTGAAATATTTTGTCCAAGTTTAAGATGTTTGACACAGCAATGTGCAATTCAACTGGTACGGGAAACAAAGAAAGGAATCACTCAGCTCTCAGATGAACTACCTGCTAAACCTGAGTGCTTTTCAACTTTGTTCACCAACGGGCTCCTCCTAAGGCAGGCTAACACATCCCATACAGGGACACAGCCTGAAGCAGTCACCAAAAGCATTTGCAGTTTACTATTTTTTATTTTTAAAAATTTAAGCAAACTTCACATTCTACTCTAAAATATACTGATATTTCCCATAACCAATTTTCCTTCTCTGCTGAGACATATATTTGCTTATCTTATGGCTCTGCAGATAAGATACACTCCAGTGTGAGTAATAAATGTACAGCAAAAGAAGAAGCATAATGGATTATACAGGGCAGCATGATGGTTAAGAGTAGACTCTTCAGAGCCAGGTGTGGTGGCACATGCTTAAGATCCCAGAGATTGGGAGACTGAGGCAGGAAGATCACAAGCTCAAGACCAATTTAGGAAACTTGGTGAGATCCTGTCTCAAAAAATAAGAAGGGTGAGGTATAGCTTAGGGGTAAAGCATTTGCTTAGCATGCACAAAGCCCTGAATTAATCACCAGCGCCACCAAAGAGGAAAAAAAAGAAGGGTAAAACCTTTGGACTTTATGGGGTTTATGGGTCTACCTGGGGTTCAAATCCCATAAGATACATTATACAGCTATATCTTAACATTGCGATAAAACGGAACATTTCTCTTGCCTCATTCTTAAAAAATTCAGCAAACAGAATTTAATACTGGACCCACCAACGCCCACACTGTACAAAGGCAAAGTTGCTCTTGAAGGGTGAAAGAGCTGGATGATTAGTTCCATTAATATAAAAACAGACAACTACTTTGACTAAATTTCATAGAACAATAAGATTAAAAACAAGCCAAGGGGTTGGGTTTGTGGCTCAGTGATAGAGCGCTTCCTGAGCATGTGTGAGGTACTGGGTTCAATTCTCAGCACCACATAAAAATGAATAAATAAAATTATGATATTGTGTCCATCAACAACTAAAAGAAAAAAACAAAACAAAACAAATATCTCCCTGGGAATTTTATTCTTTGTAAATAGGTAGCTGGGCACGGTGGCACACACCTGTAATCCCAGCAATTTGGGAGGCTGAGGCAGGAGGATTATGAGTTCAAAGTCAGCCTCAGCAATTTAGTGAGACCCTAAGCAACTCAGTGAGACCCTATCTCTAATAAAATATTAAAAAAAAGGGGGCTGGGATTGTGGCTCAGCGGTGGAGCGCTCACCTAGCACGGGCGGGACCTGGGTTAGATCCTTAGCACCAAATAAAAATAAAGGTATTGTGTTGTGTCTATCTATACCTAAAAAAATAAATATTAAAAAAAATAAATAAAAAATATATATATATATAAAAATAAAGACTGGGGATGTGGCTCAGTGGTTAAGGACCCCTGGGTTCAATCCCTGGTACAAAAAAAAAAAGAAAAAGAAAATAAACCTGGCTTGGTAGTGCATGCCTATAATCCCAGCAGCTCAGAAGGCTGAGGCAGGAGGGTCAGAAGTTCAAATCCAGCCTCAGTGATTTATCGAGACCCTAAGAAACTCAGCAAGACTCTATCTCTAAATACAATATTTAAAAAGGGCTGGGGCTGGTAATCCCAGCGGCTCGGGAGACTGAGACAGAGGATTGCAAGTTCAAAGCCAGCCTCAGCAAAAGTGAGGTGCTAAGCAACTCAATGAGACCCTGGCTCTAAATAAAGTTTAAAAAAAAACTGAAAAATAAGATTAGGTGTGTAGTTCTGTGGTAAGGTATGTGCTGAGCATAGACAAACCCCTGGGTTCAATCCCTAGCATCAAAAAAATGAAGATGATGATGATGATGATGAAGAAATAACCTTTTATAGAGATGAAAAAGAAATCCACATTATAACAGAATTTAATATTAGCACATAAATGAAAATGTTACATACTGCTCCAGAGGCTCCATCAACACTATAAACCTCCAACATAAAATATTCTATTATTGCAATTGAATAAGATAGCCCATTACAAAAAACATCATAAGTATCAGAAACAACAGGTTAACATATACTGCATTGGTAACTATAAGTCAGGGGCTACTATAAGTCAGGAGCTAAGCTAATTATTTTGCAGGTACTTTCTCATTTACTGTTCTCTATAACACAATGAGACAAAGTAATATTTTTATTTCCATCCTGTATGTGAAACAATTGAAACAGAAAACTTAAATTGCTTGTTCAGGGCCATGGAACTGGTAAATGATAGAAGTGAGGTTCCAATTTGGTTTGAACTCTGGGAACTACACCCCAAATCACTGTTAGACTTTACTTCAAAATTTAAGAGAAGAATATTTTCTCTGTGTGAAGTACTGGCAGATCCCAGAGAGAGATAGCTTCACATCTGTTTCCTCTGCTGAATAACACAATGTTCAGGATGAGGTATACACTCAGCTATCTGAATTAGATGCTGGGGACAATCTGGGATCAGTATAGGACTTTCAATATTCACACAGCAAAAAGGAAGTCTGCAAGAAGGAAGCCAGCAGGAAACCACTGGACCATCTAGATATAATATAATTAGGGACTGATCCAAAGTGATGGCACTAGAAAGGGAAAATATTTCAAAGGAAAAGTGATTGGATTTGATGACAAACTGAATATATGAAATAAAAAGAATCCAATGAATCCCACTCAAGTTTTGGATGGGTGAGATAGGGACAGATTCAAGATTGCTCAGGACAGACTAAGTCAGCTTACCAGATTGTTTAAATTCAAGCCCCTGGAATTTGGGTCCCGCCCAATGGCCCAGAGCAGGCAGTCAACATCTGGAATAGTGGTCAAGGTCGGCTTGCTTCCAGGAACTTCAGTAATCACGGAAACTTCCAGGCCTGATGAAGTCCTTTTAACTTCCTTGACCTATTGGCAAATAAAATGTTAAATGTGAGTGGCAAGGCAAGGGGAGAAGTTGGAAGGAAAGCAAATGAAGATGAAACTTAAAAAAATTATACCTTTATCTTATTTATTTATTTACATGAGGTGCTGAGGATTGAACCCAGGGAGTCCCTAAAATTTTTAACATTAAAAAAAATCCCACCTGAAACCTATAGTTGACAAAGACAATTTACTTTCAGCCACAGGCCATCAGCATCAGAAGTCCCTGGAGCCAGGCTTGTTTCCTGTGTTGCCCCAAAGCTCCCAGTCAATGACTGGAAATGTCAACTAATGTTATCATTGTAATGCTTTGGCTTAAAAACAAATTATTAAATGCACTTCTTCAAATCTGTGATAATATTTTAAGTCATAAATCTAAGCACAGTGGCTTGAAAGAAAGGATGTAGCAGCATCACCAAGAAACTTTTCTAAAGCATGGTCAATGCTTCCTCCTGGACATTCGGAATCAGAATGGGGGAAAGGAATAACCTACTCAGGACAGCTGAGTTTATACACAGCTACCCCTCCATTCCTGTAGGGAACTGGTTCCAGGAACCTCAACAGACATAAAACCTGTGAATGTTCAAGTCTTTTATATAAAATGGCATAGTATTTGCATATAACCTAGATACCTCCTCCTGTGTACTTTAAATCAACTTCGTTTTACTTAAAATTCAAAACACAAGGTAAACAGGTGTTAGATTGTATTATTTAGAGAAAAAGTTTGTACATGTTCAGTATACATGCCACTGTTTTCCCCAAAATATTTTTGATCCACAAGTAGTTGACTCTGCAGATGCAGAACCCATTGATAAAAGAGGGCTGACTATGCAGCTTAGTGAAGGTCCTAAGGTGATTTGGATGATAAGCCTTTCTACTAGTTCAGCATATTTATACTTACAAAGCATGTTCTCATTTATTATTTTACTTAATAGAGTTGATGTTAAAAGGATGAAGTTGTGGGGGTGGAAAAAACATTTTTACAAGATTATTCTCCAAGAAAATTGGCTGAAATTCAAGAATTCCCTGAGGAGTAATGGCTTTTGTAAAAGTTAGGCCTTAAAAATAGGTTCCACACTATCCTGTCACATATATCTTAAAAAGAAAAAAAAGAGAGAAAGAAAAAGACTTCAAGCAGCAATTAAAAATCAAAAACTTATAAAAATTGATCAAAATAAACCATAAAGTACTTGTATTAAAAATATGTTCCATTTTAGTTTGCACTACGATGCAAAAGAAAACAATTTCGGTGCTTTCTCTCTTTGTAGTGCACCAAACTGAACAGGGAATATACTTGTAGGATGAAGAAGACAAAAAAAAAAAAAAGATTCCAAGGGCTGGGAATGGGGCTTAGTGGTACTTGCCTGGCATGTGAAAGGCCCTAGTTTTGACTCCTAGCACTGAAAAAAAAATCCCATACTATTTTCTGGAAAACAAATGTAAATATAAAAAGTAAGGATATGCAAAAAGGTATATGGGCACAAACATAAAAGCTTCTAACTGCCAGGTTTCTAATCTTTTACATATTTGGCTTTGTTAACACCTTAATGTGAAAAGTAGCTTTCTTAAAAAAAGGAAAGAAAAGAAATAATTGGCAGTACTCTAGGAATAGAATAAATTTTGACTGAGGAGTTCGTGTTTATAAAATTGAGGGCTGGGGTGTAGCTCAGTGGTAGAGTATTTGACTTGTGTAAGGCCCTGGGTTTGATGCAAACAAAGCATGACAACCAGGAACAAAATTCGAAACCTAAATGGGTGAGGTCAAAAGCAAAAAGTGTTATTCCCAAGAGACAGATGACAAGAGGCTATGAGCGGGCCTTGAGGACACACCTGTGAGTACTTCAAGACCTCCACGCCAGCGTTCTCCAGCTCTTCAGTGCAGTTGGAACTGATTAGTGAATCAAAATTTCTAAGTACCTGTGTACAGATATAGGCAACAGAGAGATGGGGGTTGTGGAAAAAAAAACAAAACAAAACGTGATTAAAGACATGCTACAAACTTGGGAGGGAAATTTCAGTGCTGTATTATCCTTTTCCCTATCTCCTTCATTCATGGTCATATTGAGAGTAGGGTTTTTTTGGTTTTTGTTTTGGTACTGGTGACCGAACCACAGAGCACTTTAGCACCAGGCTACATCCTCAATCCCTTTTATTTTTTGAGACAGGGTCTCACACTAAGTTGTGCTAGCTAGCTTCAAATTTGAAAACCTCCTGTCTCAGACTCCCAGGTCACTGGGATCACAGGTACAAGCCATCCTGGGAGACGGAAGCGAAGTTTTAATAAATCCTCTCTTCTCCTACCAGTGTCTATATTATATTTGACTTAATTCCTGTTTTAGAGTAAAAATAAAATGGATAGTCAGCTCGGCACAATAATATATGCTTATAATCCCAATTACTAAGGAGGCTGATGTCAAAGGACCATAAGTTCTAGGCCAGGCTCTACAACTTAGCAAGCCCGTGTTTGGAAAAAAAAAAAAAAAGGGCTGGAGATGTCATCAGTGCTTACCAACTTTCCAAATGGACCAATGTACTGATAAGACTATAAAAATATACTTATTTATTAAATACTCTGCCTTTCCTCTTCCTTCCAATTTACTGGATATTTCAATCATGCAAAATCATGTTTATGAAAAGTACTTTTCAGGACATAAATCTCCTTGGGGTTGAATTACATGACATATATCAAAGCCAAAGAGAAAGTTTTAGGAGTATGCACTGCCCAGGATTGTAAGCAAACCTCTGGTCCCTCCATTTGTTCAAGTTAAGAAGTATAACCAGCCTGGTACAGTGGCGCATGCCTGGAATCCTAGCGGCTCAGAGGCTGAGACAGGAGGATTATGAGTTCAAAGTCAGCCTTAGCAAAGGTGAGGGGCTAAGCAACTCAGTGAGACCCTGTCTCTAAATAAAATACAAAATAGGGCTGGGATATGGCTCAGTGATTTAGTGCCCCCCTGAGTTCAATCCCCGGTACCTTCCCTCCACCCAAAAAAGAAAAGGAAAATACAGGGAATGGGAAGGAAAAGGCTAAGATTTACCTTATCATGCCGTATCATTAATGATGTCTTAGAGCCCAGGGCTGAGAGGATCCCAGCTATTTCCACAGCAATATAACCTGCGCCCACAATGACACTGCGGCTTAAATGAGAGCAGAATGTTAATGTTTTATAATTTTAGATTTATAGACAAGTTATACAGATACTATGACATTTCTTTAATGACACAAAAACCTTCCAAACTAGAGATGGTTTCTTTCTTTCTTTCTTCTTTTTTTTTTTAAGAAAAAGGAAAAAGAAGTTTTACTGCTTTGCAAGCAAAGGAGAAACACAGGGGACTTCTGTCCCAGAGGCTGTGGTTCTGCCCATCAACAGGAACAGGGGGCTTTTCAAGAGGTTATTCAAAGGCTACATTCCACATGTTCTGTGTTGGAGTTATACTTCACTTGTTAATTTGGACCATTTCTGAGATCTTCTGCTTCCATCCCCAAAGTCTGGATTACTTCATTTTTATAGTGGGTATACACTCTAGAGATGGCCTCTTATGTGTCTAAAACTAACAGCAGGGCCACAATTCTTAGCACCATTACTCTTCTGTGTTGGGTGTTTCTCCTTGATCATGACTTAGTTCTATCAATTCTTGCAATATGGTCAAGGGCCAATTTAAGCAAGCTACTTTAACTTCTAGGATAATTCTGCAAACTAAACTTCCTGAATACATTTTGGTTTAAAAAAGAATCTTCAGTCCTGGTTAAAAGTTTGAATGAAGGTCTAAACCAATAGTGAAGAAGCTCTGATCCTGGACCCAGCTCCAGGTTTACTTTCATGCTACAGTCTGCAGAATAAGACCTCTTTTTTGGTTATCCCCTTTGGGGCTGGTGCCCTCTAAAGCTTCATACAACCTCTCCCAAGGTTGCAATGCATCATGGGTAATAAGCACTCAAGGGGAGAACAAAGGAAAACTTGCTCCAATATCTCCCTCAGGCAAAGTACCTACACTGTAAGTCCCAGACTTCACAGGGCTTACAATCTGGATGGAAAAAAGTAAAAACCCAAATGGTTCAACACTGCACAGAGCAGGAGAGGAGGAGTAGGAGGAAGAGCAGGAGGAGATGATTACACCTGCTCAGAGAGGAGAGCCACACCACTGTGGCCCCCATTTACCAACACGTGGCTCTCCTGGCCTGATTTCAATTAGAGACAATAGCCAGGACCTGGAAGATCATCACCAAAGTCCCTGCAGGTCTGGTTACACCAGAGGTATCCCTGCTAGACTACTTTTCTTGATTCCTTTTTCACTCTTCCTATGATCTAATACCTCTATATTCTCTCCTCCTACCTCATAAACCTCACATCCCACACCTCCCCCACACTCTTTGTTCACCATTAGAAACCACAGGCACTTATGCAAACCTACTATTTATATTGTAGATATTAATCTCACACATCATTTCTCATTATTGTGACAAAACTGTAATTGTCTAAATAGGAGCTATTTGGTTTCTGGTTGCATATTGTTTGCATTGGGTACTGTAAATATTGATCTCCCCTTTAAAAGTGAGGTATTAGTAACCTCCAGGAACACTACAAGAAAGAAAAACAAATGGCTATAAGAGGTAATGACCCTCTTATCCTACAATCCAGAGTATGAAAAGAAAAATCTCGGTATGGTTCAAACCTATGAAATAGCTCTTCTTCCATCTCCACCATTGTTTCTGACCTCTTTTCCTTTCTACAGTTCTTCCTTCCTATTGCTCTCCTTTCTCCTATCCACCTTCTTTTTATCCCCAGACATGTATTATTGAAGTTCTATGCTGTGTTAGGTATCACACTAGACAGGATGGATAATGATTCCTGCTCTTAAGGAATTTTGGAAGAGAGAAACATGCTCTAGAGTTGGTCAAGGATCACATCCAGTCAGTTCTTGCAGAGTAGAGAGTTTAGAAAATGCTGCAGATTCCTGAAACACAACTAGCTCTTGCAGGGCCCCCAGAAGCAGTCCATGCAAGAAACAGGCATGTACTGGGTACAGTGTCACATGCCTATAATTCCAGTACTCAGGAGATTGAGGCAGAAGGACTGCAAGTTCAAGAACAGTGATTTAGTGAGACCTTGTCTCATAATAATAAATAAAAAGGGTTAAGATGTAGTTCGGTGGTAGAGTACCACTAGGTTTAAACCCCAGTTTAAAAAACAAAACAAAACAAACAAACAAAAAAAACGATGGGGGAGAGGTGCTGGGGATATAGCTCAGCTGGTAAAGTGCTTGCCTTGCATGCACAAAGCCCTGGGTTCAATCCCCGGTAACACACACACACACACACACACACACACACCCCAAAAAAAAGGAAAGAAAAATAGGCATGAAAAAAAAAAATGGTTTATTCAGAGACCTGCAAGGAACTCAGTGCGTCCCCTCAGCTCCCATTAGTACCCATTATTACCCTAATGCTAACACTTGCCACTGTCATCTTCACTGGAAGAAATCTTTCAAGTTGCCAAATCCCCAAAGCACTTCTTTTTCCTCCTTCTGGCCCTCAGGACCACTTATGCTACAACCTTCCATGGGATTCATGCTCCCAACTCCATCCAACCAGAGGATAAAATGGAACTACACAGTGCACATGGTATTTTGTCTACAGAATTCATTCTTTCCCTGATTCTTTACTTATTTACCATGATTATAACAAGGATTTCCCTGGGTTACCTAGACTGTTCTCAAACTTCTAGGTTTAAGCAATCCTTCTGCCTCAGTCTCCCAAGCAGCTAGGACCATAGGTGCATGCTGCCATGCTCTGCTCAACAGTTAATTCATTTTCCTGTGTTCTTAAAAGTCTATTGTTTATAACATGTATAAATGCATTCATTAAATTTTTATTCATGTCAATAAAAGCTTAATAAAGGACTTTAAAATACCTAATGAACAGATATTTATAATAAAACTTGTTTCAGGTTGAGTCTAGATCAAATTTTATTATCTAAACATGATGACTCATGACCACATTTCTGGAAGCATGCTCACATGTGTCATGTCATTCAACACTAACACTAAGTAGTACAGGGAGGATTGTGAGGGATGAAAGGCTGTTATCCAATACATTTCCATGCACTAACAGTAAACCTAAAAAGACTATAGGCTTTTCTGAAACCTCATCTAAGTCAGAAGATGGCTTGGTCTACATATCCATTTTCACTGGTGCCATGGAACTGTAGAGTACAGTCCTCATCCTTTATGAACTGTGGCTATTGGTGACTTAAGGTAAAGATGGATTATTAGTCACTGATGATCTCTGAAAGCATTTGTAAAAGTGAGGCTTAGGACCTCAAACTGGACTTGCAACAGCCACTGAGGGAGCAGCAGATTAAGCACCATCAACTAGAGAGTGACTCAGATGGAGACAGAGGCCAGGCTCTGGATCACAGGTTCTTTCTTCTATTCATCTCTTACCACGAGTAAAAGGAGAACCACTCCAAAAAGCCTGCAACATGCAGGGCCTTCAAATGAGAGAAATGTTTTCCCTTGTTACCTTCTTTTCCTCTATGAATCAAATTCATGTCAGAAATTTACTAAAGTTACTCAGACAAACCTACATCAAGAACAATGCCAGGGAATGAAGATGTAACTCAGTGGTACAGTGTTTGTCTAGCATGTGCAAACCCTGGGTTCAATCCCTAGTACAAGAAAAAATAACAACAGTAACCAAAAAACGCCAATGTCAGCTGGTCACTTTGGCACATGCCTATAGTCATCAGCTACTTGAGAGGCTGAAGCAGGATGGCAATTTAAGCCCAGGATTTCAAGTTCAGCCTGGGCAACATCGTGAGACCCCCCCATTCAAAAAAAAAAAAAGAACAAGAACAATGTCAGAAAATATATTTTTGTGAGACCAACAGAGCCATCTTTTATGGAGACCCCTCTGTACTAACTTTGAAAAATCCAGAGTCAATTACTTTAGAGATGTTATGACTTGATGCCATATCAAGCTGAAGAGAGTTTTAGGTCTTTCTTTTTTTTAAATATTTTTTTAGTTGTTAATTTTTTTTTAGTTGTTAAATTTATTTGTATGCGGTGCTGAGAATTGAACCCAGTGCCTCACACATGTTAGGTAAGTGCTCTACCACAGAGCTACAACCTCTGACCAGAGTTTTAGGACTTATATTATTGAGTCTTCAATACTATCCTGTATCTGATTTGAGTTCTTAACATTCTACAATGGCCTCTGCCCAAAAGCATATAAGATTTCAAGGATCTACTGAGGAGTACTAGTGGATGAGGTACCCAAGGACAGAAAAGGAGAAAAGGTAGAAAAATTGAACTTAGAAAACACTATAAATGGTTGGGAAGGGGAGGAAGAGGAAAAGTTCTCAGGCAAGACTGTGGAGAAAGGGAGCATTAAGGTGAAGTCCACTTACCGAGGCAATTCTTCCAACTGAAAAAATCCATCACTGGTTATTCCTAGGCTGGCACCTATGTAGAAAATACAATATTGATCACACAAGACTGCACTTTCTCTTGTACACAGCATTTTATGCAAGAACCAAACAGTTTTTCAGTTAACACACAGTTTTGTCAAGTTTGTTAAAGTTTCCACTTAGAAAATGGTCCACTAAGTCTTCTGTGAATCAACACTTTTAATTTCTTTCTAGAACTAGAAGCAACGGCAGCTAACTAACTTTAAATTTACTTTAGCCAGGGCTGGCGTTGTGGCTCAGGGGTAGAATGCTCACCTAGCACACGTGAGGCACTAGGTTTGATCCTCATTACAACATAAAAATGAAATAAAGATATTGTATCCACCTACAACTAAAAAATAAATATTTAAAAAATACTTTAGCCAGGTGCTAAAGTCTCTGGGACCCTGTCTCAAAATAAAATCAAAAGGGCTGGGTATGTAGCTCAGTGATAAAGTGTCCTTGGATTCAATGACTTAATCCCCAATATTGCAAAAAGTAATTATAGGGCTGGGGATATAGCTCAGTTGGTAGAGTGCTTGCCTTGCATGCACAAGGCCTTGAGTTCAATCCCAAGCATCATAAACAATCAAAAAATAATTATAATATATAAAAGCAAATACACACACACAGATACATACACACAGAACCCAAGCATCATGATTATAAGATACATCTTTTCAGAGGTGATAAATATTTTTAAAAACGTATCTTGAAATCAATAGATACAATGCCTGATTCTGTTTCTGCTGTGTCTTTTATGCCTATTCTCTTCTCCTATCCCTGGCATTGCAGCAGGGGAAAAGTAACTATCTTAAAAGATAGTTACTTGAAGTAAGATTGAAATATTTCCATCACATTTCTGGTAAAAACCATACCCAATCTTCTGTACTGGGAATTACAAGTTTTCTAGCTGATCTGCATCTTTCTCTGTCCCTTTCAAGTCACTGTCCCATTTGTTTCTAAAATTATCACTGAGCTGGGTGTGGTGGTACACACTTGTAATCAGTGACTTGGGAGAGGATCTCAAGTTTGAGGCCAGTCCCAGCAACTTAGTGAGACCCTTGACAACTTAGTGAGACCTATCTAAAAATAAAAAATAAAAAGGACTGAGGATATAGCTCAGTAGTAAAGTACCCCTGGGTTCAATATCTGGTACCCCAAAATAAATAATCACTGAGATCTTGTTACTATAATATTTATAAATTAACATTTGTCAGTTATCATAAATTTAGAGATTCCACTATTTGGCTTAATAAGTTCCCATAAATTGGCCCCAACCCAATTCCAGTCTCAGGTCACAGTATTTGCCTCAAGAATGTCAGTGCTAGAAAAACTGGCTGAATTGTTTCAATGTCCACCAAAGACATCTTTATTACCCACTGATTCTTTTCTTCCTCAGCACATAACATTCAGTTTGTGTGCACAATTCCCTAGAAGTCTTCCTGGTTCATCCCAGCCCATACTAATCTGCCCTGCCTCTGAGTACTTAAAACCTCACTATCTGGCAATTATGTATTAGAACATTTCATTTAGTGTTTGTATTTGCTTTGTTTTATTTTATTTTTTTTTTGATTTATTACTTTTTATTTTTATTTTTTGGGGTACCAGTGATTGAACTCATGGGCACAGCCCTATTTTGTATTTTATTTAGAGACAGGTTCTCACCGAGTTGCTTAGTGCCTTGCTGTTGCTGAGGCTGGCTTTGAACTTGCGATCCTCCTGTCTCAGCCTGAGCTGCTGGGATTACAGGTGTACACTTTGCTTACTTTTTATATTTTAAATAAATTGATAAATGTTTTAAAAATTTTTTTGAATAAGAGATTATTTTATTAATACTTTGAGGTTCTAAGGAAAGAGTAAGCCATACAGTATTGGGAGTGAGAAATGCCTGGATTTCCTATGTTCTAAATTATTTGTTTTCTTTTAGGGTTAAATAAATTATTTATTTATTTATTTTTAATTGAATTATTTATTTATTCTAATTTGTTATACATGATAGCAGAATGCAATTCATTTCATATTATACATATATAGCCCAATTTCTCGTCACTGATTGTATACAATGTATTTTCACACCATTCTTATCTTCATACACTTTGTTTGCATTTGCTTTATTTTACTTTTAGGCTAGGCATGGTGTGTATGCCTGTAACCCCAGTAACTCAGGAGGCTGAGGCAGGAAGATTGCAAGTTCAAGATCAACTTTAGCACCTTAGCAAGGCTCTAAACAACTTGTCTCAAAATGAAAAATAAAAGGCCAGGGACATAGCTCAGTGGTAAAGTGCCCTGGGTTCAATCCTCAGTACCACACACACATATAGACAAAAAAAAAAAAAAAAAAAAAAATCACACACACATATATGTATATAGATATACATATATGTATATATTTCTATATCTTAGAAACTATACCTATCAAGGATACTTATGTCTAATATTCAAATTCTATTTAACATATGTCTAACTATTTCATGTCTAATATATTCATTTGTGATTATTTGAATGTTCTATGTCTAATATATTTTATGTTTAATATTCCCAACTAAATTTTAATCTACTTGAGAATGGTATCTTCGTATCTTTTACAGTAATTGTCTTTACCTTTAGGGGTCAAACACTTTGTTTTGTTTTGGGTACTGGGGATAGTACCCAGGAGTGTTTTGAGTTACATTCTCAGCCCTATTTCTGAGACAGCATCTAAGTTGTCTTGAACCTGTGACCCTCTTGTAGGTGAGATTACAAGTGTGTGCCACTTGGCCTGGCATGAATACTTTAAAGCTGGTGACAATTTATGGATCCTCTCTTCAGAATGATCCATATAAAATTCAGGATGGCAATGAGTCTTATGGCACCAATCCATGGAACATAAAAAAGCGGCATAAACTATGCTCACCATCCAAAAGACCTGCAAAGGTAGATAGGGCCATCTCTGAGATTCCTAATTTAATCTTCTTTTATAATCTCCATATTACAGACAAAAAGATGTATATAAGGCTTACTTATGGGCTGGGAATGTGGCTCAATCGGTAGTGCGCTCGCCTGGCATGTGTGCGGACCGGGTTCGATCCTCAGCACCACATACAAACAAAGATGTTGTGTCCGCCAAAACTAAAAAAATAAATATTAAAAAAATTCTCTCTCTCTCTTAAAAAAAAGTTGCTTTAAATTTGAAAAGAGGGACTGCAATATTAAAAAAAAAAAAACAAAAAAAAAAACAGGCTTACTTAACTAGTTAAACTACATCCTTACAAGATCTCTCTCCCTTCAGTCAATATATTTGTACCTTATAAATAGCAACACTTCTAACAGAGACTAGAAACAATCTATACATGCTAAGATTGAGGCTACAATAGTTTGAAATGGATGAAATCTCTTTCCTCTCCTCTTCACTAACTACCACTTAGCCAATTAATTTTAGGTTCTACAGAGACTTTTTTCATAGTCTTTCTTTTTTTTTTGGGGGGGGGGGGTTGAGGGTACAGGGATTGATTCAGGGGCACTCGATCACTGAGCCACATCCCAGCCCTATTTTATATTTTATTTAGAGACAGGGTCTCACTGAGTTGTTTAGTGCCACATTTTTGCCAAAGCTGGCTTTGAGCTTGTGATCCTCCTGCCTCAGCCTCCCTAGCCGTTGGGATTACAGGTCTGCACCACCATGCCTGGCTTCACAGCCTTTCTTAAGAGAAAACTGGGGTCTGGGGATGTGGCTCAAGCGGTAACGCGCTTTCCTGGCATGCGCGGGGCGCTGGGTTCGGTCCTCAGCATCACATAAAAATAAAATAAAGATGTTGTGTCCACCGAAAACTGAAAAATAAATATTACAAAATTCTCTCTCTCTTAAAAAAAAAAAGAGAAAACTGGTATAGGCATATCCATGGCCTAGTTTGTAATTCTGAATGCAATGGAAAACCCCTCCAAATAGTTAATAACTATTTGCCTTTGAACTCACCAGGGATCTGGCTCTCATGAGGATATGAGGGGACACCACCTGTGGCAATCAGAATGTGAGGAGCTGTGTATTTTTTCCCATTAACCTCCACTGTGGGCTGGGGATCACATGTGAATGCTGCATGGCCATGGATGATTTCTATATGGGACTGAAGAAGAAATAACAACATTAGACTGTTCTTAAGATAAAGCAAAAACACCTGATGCAACATATCAGCTCTTCCGTATCTCCAGTAAAATTTGTGATTTTTGGTTTGAAATACCAAGACAATTCTGTTTCTTGCGTTTATGTAGAGTTCTTGACTGCTAACTGATACTCAAGTAAAGGGATTGCCGTTAGATACTGAAAGCATAAAATAAGAAATGCAAGAAGAAATGGAAGAGGAGGAGAAAGGAAGCACTGAGGGAGAAAGTCTTCCTTACAGTGAGAGAGATTGAAGAATGATGTGTCTGGAGGAAGGGAAGAAGAAAGAGGAAAACAAAAAAATAAAGGTTAAGGGGCTGGGGTTGTGGACTCAGCAGAAGAGCGCTCGCCTAACACATGCAAGGCGCTGAGTTTGATTCTCAGCACCACATAGAAATAAATAAAATGAAGGAATTGTGTTCAACTACAACTAAAAAAATATTTAAAATAATAATAAGTTGAAAACTAAAAGCTGATTTGCTCTTACTAACATCATCTATGCCAAGGCATCAATTTGAGAAGGCTGGCAAGCTTCTGCCAGTCGTGATACACGTATTGGCCTGCGAATACAGGTGACTAAATAAGGATAATGGAGGCATGCAAGTATGATCACACAATGGAATGTATCAACATTCTGGAACATGTCTAGTTCTGAACTGAGCTATTTCCTCTTTTCCAACCACCCCTCCAGGTCTATTCCTGCAGGTGCCTTGCTTAATCAAGCTGAATTAAAATCAATGCCAAAACCCACAAGCCTCCAGAACACCCTTTCTTCAGGAATAAAAAGTTCCTATGAGGTGCTTGAGAAAAAGGAGTGTGAGCTGAGTAGTAATAATTCAGACAACACAGTTTGGAGGAATTTTCATTTCCTAAGATATTGGACAGCAAGTTTCCTTTTCTATGAGGGAAAGCTATAAACAATTCCTTGATCATAAAGTCACAGTAAGTTCTATTTCATATCAAGATTTATAAGTATTTAAAAATGCTGGATTTCTTGGTAATTTTCCTATCTCTTGCAAAAGTATTTCAGCTAGCTCCACTTAAAAATTTTGATGTGTGGGGATGGGAAGGATGGTGGAATGAGATGGACATTATTACCCTATGTACATGTATGATTGCACGAATGAGTCATAACCCCGCAGCGTGTCCAGCAAGAGAAATAAGAAGTTGTGTTCCATCTGTATACAATAAGTTGAATGTATTCTACTGTCATGTATACTATTTAGAACAAATTTTAAAAATTAAAATTTTGATGTAGGTGCTTTAGTAATAGAATGTTGTATCTCTAATAAATATAAGTCTGAGAGCCTTAAAATCCTTTGGAGTTAGTAGATACAGAACTGTACTCAAGTATCTTTCCTTCTAAATTGGGGGTTAAGGTCAGAAAATATATTCTGGGAATGGGGATGTAGCTCAGTGGTAAAGCAATTGCCTAGTTTGCTTAATGCCCTAGGTTCAATCCTCAGGACCACTTGGGGGGGAAAAATGACTACAAGAAAATATCTAAATATCCTCCTCCAAAAAATAAATACAGGGCTGGGGTTGTGGCTCAGTGGTACAGCACTTGCCTAGTAAGTGTGAGGCACTGGGTTTCATCCTCAGCACCACATAAAAAATAAATAAATAAAGGCATTGTGTACATCTCAACTAAAAAATATTTTTAAAATAAATAAATAAATAATCAAATACAACGAATGATAAGAACCAATATAAAAGTATTTGAGATTAGCCATCTGTAGAAGTAATTCACCTTAAAAACTGGTTTAGAGCCAGGTGTAGTCATGAACACCTATAATCCCAGCAACTCAACAGGTTGAGGCAGGAGGATTCCAAGTTTAAGGCTAATCTCAGCAATTAAGCAGGGTCCTAAGCAATTCAATGAGAACCCTGTCTCAAAAAATAAAAAAGAACTGGGGATGTAGCTCAGTGGTAGAGTGCCCTGGCTTCAATGCCTAGTAGCAAAAGACAAAAAACATTGGTTTATAAACATGTCACTATTGAGATTAGGGCAGCTCAAACAGCAACAAGAATCTACTGTTTGATGCTATATGATTTTCTTGGAATAAACCCAACTACTAGGTATAATACTCAAAAAAAAAAAAAAAAAAACAAACCAGAATCTACTGTCATCTGAATAAAAATTAAGCTATATAAATATGTAAATCTCCTAGAAACTGCAAAGTGAAACCACAAAGACAAAGGAAGGATGATGGGACATATGCTGTACAGTAAAAGGATGTGGGAGGAGAGAAGGGAAGCAGGTAGAATTGAGGATTGAAATGGAGAAAACTATGTTACATGCATTTATGAATATGCCAAAATGAACTCTACAATTAGGCATAACTATAATACATTTTAAAAAGAAAAAGGAGAGCTGGTGTTTGCTTTAGTAGCATATGTACTAAAATAGGAACAGAAAAGATTAATGTAATCCCTGTACAAAGATGACATATGAATCTGTGAAGCATTCCATACTAAAAAGAAAATGGAAGGCTGGATGACCTGTAATTTACCAATGTCACTAGTATGGCCTGGCATGGAGGAGGTATAACATCTAAGCACTAAGGCAGAAAAAGCCTCAGAAAGGTAAAGGACAACATATACTTGCCAGAGGCAAACACACTATATGAAGATACATTTTTGCCTGGCCACACCTACTTGCCTACTCCAGCAAAAAACAGCTCCTTCCTTTTCTAAGTTCAAAACCCAGCATACAGGGCTGGAGATATAGCTCAGCTGGTAGAGTGCTTGCCTCGCACACACAAGACCCTGGGTTTGATTCTCAACAACAAAAAAAAGCATACACACCTTGGTTAGATTGTTTCGATAGATGGTGTTCAGGCGGCTCACATAGGCATCCCGCTTTTCTTTTATAACACTGCAACAAAACCTGAGTCAGTACTGAGAAACAGGATTTTCCTTTCAGTAGCCAGAGAACTGTCCCAACACCCGTAAGCAGAAAATCATAGACTCTCAATAAAAATGAAGTGAATAAATATCTCTGAAGACAGCTGTCCTTTCCCTGTGACCACCTGCCTTCCTCTGTGTTGAGAATCCTTACTCCACTCCATGGAGAACGCTCAGTTGGCATCCACTTATGTGGGCTTCTTTCTGCATATAATCAAGGATAGTTGCTTTGGCATAGCACATAGAACATGGTGGCCACTCAAAAATGTTTATTGAAACATAAATAGCGAATAGATTTGCTAAAACTTTGTGAAAATTCAATGATTTCAAAAGTTTATGGCAATCCAGATGCAAAAGCGCACGCCTATAATCCCAGTGGCTCAGGAAGCTGAGGCAGGAGGATTGCAAGCTCAAGGTCAGCCTCAGCAATTAAGAGAGGCCCTAAGCAACTTAGGACCTATCTCAAAATAAAAAAATAAAAAGGGCTGGGGATGTGGTTAAGCTCAGTGGTTAAGTTCCCCTGGGATAAATCCACAGTATCTTCCTCCACCAAAAAAAAATTTTTGGTGATTCCTTAAAAGTTAAATATAGAATTGCCATATCATCCAGCAATTCCACTTCTAGGTATAGACCCAGAAGAATTGAAAACTGGGACTCAAACAGATACTTGTACACCAACGTTTGCAGCAGCATTCTTCTTAACAGCCATAAAGTAGAAATAACCCAATAGTCCATGGACAGGTAACTGAATAAAATATAGAAGGGATACTACTGCACAGTAAAGAGCATGAATTATTTATACAGGTTACAACATGAATAAACCTTGAAAATGTTATGCTAAGCAAAATAAACCAGACATAAAAGCAAAGACATATGACTCTATGAAGAACCTAGCATAGGTTCAGCCATAAAGACAGAAAGTAGACTAGAGGTAGCAGTGGCTAGGGCATGGGGAATGAGGAGTTACATTTAATGGGTAAAGAATTCTGTTTCGGGTGGTGGAAACGTACTGGAAATGCAGAATGATCACAGCTGCACAACACTGGAATGTACTTAATGGTAAATTTTACATTGTACATATTTTACCACAATAATATCTCCCCAAGTTTAGGCTTAAGTTACTAGAAATCTACATTTGCAAATTGAACCCTTTGAGCATTAATACTTACCGCCAATTGAATTTACTCTCACAGCTTTGAAAGCCATAATCAACATGATCATGCATGAATTCAGAGTGGACAGCTGTGTTCCACATTACCTATAAAGAAAAGTACCCAAAATAGTAGTACATGAGTCCTGAAGAAAGAAAGATGTCATGAATGAATGGTAACTATGTGACAGCAGGTAAGAACTAACCTTGAAATTAAAAACAAAACTAAACACACTAAGAATGAAAGTTCAGAAGCATGACCAAATGGACTGGACAGTGAGGCTTCTGAAATATTGGGCAAATTATAACCAATATTGTTAAGTAATAGAGTTTATAATAAATAATATGAAAGCAGAATATTACAAGCCTAATAGTTTTTTCTTTAAAGTTTTTAAACTTATCATTCGCTATATTCCTATTTTTTTATATTTATTTTTTTCATTGTAGTTGGACACAATACCTTTATTCATTTATTTTTATGTGGTGTTAAGGATCAAACCCAGGGTCTCACATGTGCTAGGCGAGCACTCTACTGCTGAGCCACAACCCCAGCCCCCTATATTCCTATTTTAAGTTTTTTTTTAGATTTCTGTACGCCTTGTCCTTTTGATTCAATTCCAGGAAATGGAATGCATCTGTAACTTTACAGGATAGTAATTCAGAAGAAAAGCTATGAAATAAAGTTTTTGTTGTTGTTCCTTTTTTTTTTTTTTTTGCTTTGGGCAGGGGGCACTGATGATTGAACCCAAGGGCACTTAACCACTAAGCCACATTCCCAGCTTTTTTTGAGAAAGGTCTTGCTGAGTTGCTTTGAGCCTCATTAAAATGTTGAGGCTGGCTCTGAGTTACAATACTTCTGCCTCATCCTCCCAAGTCGCTAATATTACAGGCATGTGCCACCGCATCCAGCAAGGACTAAAAATTCTAAGAGAACAAATTTCTATTATGTAGTCAGTAACTACAAACATGCCCTTAGAAGGATGTACATAATCACACATCTGTAATACAAAGGTTGACTGCACCTACTGTGGAATGCAGTCAGTCATTTGTAAAGGTCTTTTATGACAAATGAATATCAATTTAATGAGATTCAAATTGGCATTAAGAACCCTAGATAACAAACCACCATTTTTCTCTGCAAGACAAGCTTTAGACTACATCTTTGGCCAGCCTAAAATGCCTTCTTTGTACCTTTGTCCCTCTGCACTTAATATGATTAAAATGAGAACTGGGCACTGGGCATGGTACGCATGACTATAATCTCAGGGATTCAGGAGGCTGAGACAGAAGGATATGAAGTTTAAGACCAGCCTCAACAATTTAGTGAAACCCTGTCTCACAATAAAAATAAAAAGTAAGGGGGACTGGGGTGGTGGCTCAGCGGTAGAACACTTGCCTAGCTTGTGTGAAGCCCTGGGTTCGATTCTCAGCACCCCATGTAAATTAATAAAATAAAGGTTCATTGACAACTAAAAAATATTTTTAAAAAGGGGGTGGTGCATTAGGGACAAAGTTCAATGCTAAAGCACCCCCAGGTTTAATCCCTAGTACCACACAAAATACAGTCAATCAGTAAAGAAATTTTTAAAAGATTGTCAATGTTCATAAAAATAAGGACTGTTTGATTTTTTTTTTTTTAAACTCAGGTGAAATTCATGTAACATAGAATTAACCATTTTATCTGCTTTATTCTTGATCTTAATGCACATGAAAGAGTCACTAACACCACAAATATTTTGCTTCCAGTTTGTATTATGTACTATGTGACAGCATCATGCACCCTCTGGAGAGGGTGCCTCTGTATGAACCACTTTAGGCCTTTTGGTTCAGATCTAATCATAGCAGTAGGGGCCACCAACCTCCGGTTGCTCCTCTACTGCTGATTCACTCTGCCCTTCTGATACAGGGGAGTTACTCTACACTTCAGGCTGTTTTACAAAATAAGAGGCAACTACCAACTGATGCTCAAGAATGCAAAGCACTGAAATCAGTAGAGCCCAACAGAAATAAAAAACAAAAATCTACCAGATGTGATCAGAAGGGATAAGTGAAATAAAATATGGGAACAAGACATTACAAATTCAAATTCCTATGCAGTATTTGCCCAGTGGTATTTTTAAAAATAATGAGGTAGCACTAGTCAACACCGAACTTATTGCCATAATTAGGTTTAAATTACATAAAATCACTGTATAACTTAATTTATGTAATTCATATATCCATGACCCCAAGTAGAACAGACTCCAAAGTCTGGAATTAAGGGCTGGAGGTGAAACTCAGTGGTAGAGTGCTTGCCTAGAATACACAGGCCATTGGTTTGATGTCTATTACCATAATTTTTTTTTTTTTTAATTTTAAATCTACAATTAAAAGGAAAGAAAATAATGGAAACAGTGTCCCAAAGAGCAAATTTCCTAAAAACCTACCTTACCAAAGGAATGGATTTCAGAAAATCTTTCTGAAATGAAATTTCAGTGGAGTGCATGTCACTGATGAGAATACCACATTTGCTTACAGGACATCAGAAAGCTGCCAATTTAAAGTTGAAGCCCAGGCCAGGCATGATGGCTCATACCTACAATCCCAGTGGCTCAGGAAGCTAAGGCAGGAGGATTGCAAGTTCAAAGCCAGTCTCAGCAACTCAGCAAGGCCCTAAGCAACTTAGTGAGACCCTGTCTCAAAATAAAAAAGTTAAAAAAAAAAGGGTTGGGAATATGGGTCAGTAGCTAATTGCCCTGGATTCAATCCCTGGTACCCAATAAACAAATAGCTGGCCCTCTGTATCCAGAAGTTACACATCTGTGGACTCAAACAACCTTAGATGGAAAATATTAAAAGAAAATTGTGTCTGTACTGAAATTTACAGAATTTTCTTGTCATTTTTTAGGGAATAATGACAAGAGAATTTTAACAACTATTAACAAAGCATTTACACTTTATTAGGTATTATAAGTAATCTAGAGACGATTAAAAGTATACAGAGGGAGCCAGGCATGCTGGCACACACCTGCAATTCCAGTGACTTGGGAGGCTCAGGCAGAAGGATTGTAAGTTCAAAGCAAGTTCTCAGCAACTTAGTGAGACCTCATCTCAAAGTAAAATTTAAAAAATGGGCTGGGGATGTGGCTCAGTGGTTAAGGGCCCCTGGGTTCAATCTCTGGTACCAAAAAAAAAAAAAGTATACAGAAGAGTGGTTTATAGAGGATACGCAAATACTACACCATTTTAATATAAGGGACTAGTGCATCCATGGATTTTGATACACTCAGGGGTCCTAGAACCAATCCTGCATTAATATTGAGGGACAACTGTGCATTCAAATGTATCATAAAATTATTTGCAACCATAAGGAAGAGGCAACTTTGGGAATAAAAGATGCAATTTTTCCTCTATGTGAAACAGAGAAATGAGTTCAATGAAAACTACACCACAGATATCAGGACCAAAAAATCATGAACGTGGTATTTTTTTTTAAGCCACTTTTAGTTGGTTTCTCTCATTTAAAATTATTTCACAGAAATAATTTTAAATGATATATTTGAAAATGTCCTTGTTCTGATCATGATTTACCAAGCATGAAAAAGGAGTATAGAAGGAAGAAAAAAATTTTTACCTTTTTGGGTACACATCCAACATTCACCTAAGGGGGAAAAAAGAAACATACTTTAAGAAAATGAAACTCAAACCATTAAATGCACCTGCAAGAAAGGAACTGTAAACATCAAATAAGACTTTCTTGAGTTCGTTTTCTTTATTTAAATTAGGTATATATGACAGTAGAGTGCATTTTGATTCATTGTACACAACTGCAGTACAACTTTCATTTCTCTGATTATACACAATGTAGTGTCCCATCATATGTACAGTCATACATGTACCTAGGGTAATAATGTCCATCGCATTACAACATCTTTCCTGCCCCATACCCTCTCTCCTTATCCCCCTCCCCTATGCCCAAAGTTCCTCTATTTTTTTTCCATGCCCTCCCCCATTATGGATCAGCATTCACTTTCCAGAGAAAACATTTGGCCTTTGGATTTTGGGGACTGGCTTACTTCACTTAGCATAATATGCTCCAACTCCATCCATTTACCTGCAAATGCCATAATTTTATTCTTTCTTAATGCTGAGTAATATTCCATTGTGTATATATAACACAGTTTCTTTATCCATTCATCTATTGAAGGGCATCTAGGTTTCTTCCACAGTTTAGCTACTGTGAATTAAGCTGCTATAAACATTGATGTGGACTGTGTTACTATAGTATGCTGATTTTAAGTCCTTTGGGTATAGACCAAGGAGTGGGATAGCTGGGTCAAATGGGGTTCCATTCCAAGTTTTCTAAGGAATCTCCATACTGCTTTCCAGATTGATTGCACCAATTTGCAGTGTCACCAGCAATGTGTGAGAGTGTGCCTTTCCCCCCCACATCCTCACCAACACTTATTGTTGTTTGTATTCTTGATAACTGCCATTCTGACTGGTGTGAAATGAAAACTTAGAGTAGTTTTGATTTTTGCATTTCTCTAATTGCTAGAGATGTTGAACATTTTTTCATATATTTGTTGATCGATTGTATATCTTCTTCTAAGTGTGCTTAGCTCCTTAGCCTATTTATTGATTGGGTTGTTTGGGGTTTTTCGGTGTTAAGTTTTTTGAGTTCTTTATATTTCCTGGAGATTAGTGTTCTATCTGATGTGGATGTGGTAAAAATTTGCTCCCAAAATGTAGGCTCTCTTTTCATCTCATTGATTGTTTCCTTTGCTGAGAAGAAACTTTTTAGTTTGAATCCATCTCATTTATTAATTCCTGATTTTATTTCTTCACTTTAGGAGTTTTGTTAAGGAAGTCGGGGCCTAATCTGACGTGATGAAGATTTCAGCCTACTTTTTCCTCTATTAGGTGCAGGGTCCCTGGTCTAATTCCTAGGTCCTTGATCCACTTCGAGTTTAATTTTTGTGCATGATGAGAGAGAGGGCTTAGTTTCATTTTGTTGCATATGGATTTCCAGTTCTCCCAGCACCATTTGTTGAAGAGGCTATCTTTTCTCCAATGTATGTTTTTGGCTCATTTGTCTAGTATGAGATATCTGTATTTATGTGGATTTGCCTCTGTGTCTTCTATTTTGTACCATTGGTCTACATGTCTATTTTGGTGCGAATACCATGCCATTTTTGTTACAATAAGCTTTGTTGTGTAGTTTAAGGTCTGGTATTGTGATGCTTCCTGCTTCACTCTTCTTGCTAAGGACTGCTTTGGCTATTCTGGGTCTCTTGTTTTTCCAAATAATTTTTTCCTTGAGTTCTAAGTCACTAGATTGTACGGCTACTTCCTTTTTTCTATCATAGAGTAGGAAAAGATAATAATATTATTTTCCTCATATGATGAAGTAGAAAATCTTTACTTAGCATTTTCTCAAGAGAAGGGGTCAGCAAGAAAGGAAAAAACATCAATCAGATAATTTGAGCAGCTGTCTTAGAGGATTTCTGGAAATCTTACTCTGGAATATATGGATAAAACACCTAGAATGGCCTCTGCTAAAACCACAAGTAGAAAATGACATTTTATTCCTTAGGGCCCAAATAACGAGATTCATCCCTACTATGAAGCTTTGATTCTTAGTATTCTAATAGTCAACACACAAAGGAAAACAAACAGTTCTAAGAGTTCATCCACCAGATATTTAGGAAGGTAACTATTTAGATAAGGAGGCTACAGAAAAATATCTTCCAGCTGGGTTTAGTGGCACATACCTGTAACTCCCGTGACTGAGGAGGCTGAGGTAGAAGAATCTCAAGTTCAAGGCCAGCCTCAGCAACTTAGAAGACCCCATCTCAAAATAAAAAGTATGGGGATATAGCTTAGTGGTAAAGTACCCCTGGGTTCAATACCTAGTACTGAAAAAAGAAAAAAAAAAAAATGCCTCAGAAGGATCTTTATATTTTTAGGTACTGGAGACTGAATGAATCCAAGGGTGCTTTACCACTGAGCTACACCCCCAGTTCTTTTTTTTTTTTTTTAATATTTTTTTAGTTGTAGATGGATACAATACCTTTATTTATTTTTATGTGGTGCTGAGGATTGAACCCAGTGCCTCACACGCGCAAGTCTTGCGCTTTACCACTGAGCCACAACCCCAGCCCTTCCCCAGTCCTTTTTGAGACAGGGTCTTGCTAAGTCGCTGAGGCTGACCTCAAACTTTCAATCATCCTGCCCCAGTCTTCAAAATAGCTGGGATTTCAGGCCTGAACACCACACTCAGCACAAGGATCTTTATAAACAAGATGCAGTGTTCATCCTTATACACACATTTTTGTGCATATCAGTTAATTTTCTTTTGATTACTTCCTAAATTTTTTTAAACTGAGCTAATTAGGACTTTGATTACAAGGCCTTAAGTTAGAAATATGGGCTTAACTAAATGATTAACTACTCTGTGTACCCTAGGGGAGGAGCTGCTTGTAGAAGGAAAACTATGCTGATCTCACTTTTTTGAAGGACAAATTATAAACTCTGTATAGACTGGCTATCTGATGTGTATTTCAGATAACCTTTAACCTTATGAGTACTGACTGGAAAGCCCTGGGTTCAATCCCCAGTGTTGGGAAATAGGGTGGAAATAACCCAAATGATATTTCTCATCAGATTGGTAAAAATGTAAGATTGCTGGGCACTGAGGCACATGCCTGTAATCCCAGTGGCTCTAGAGGCTGAGTAAGGAGGATCATGAGTTAAAGCCAGCCTCAGCAATGGCAAGAAGCTAAGCAATTCAGTGTGATCCTGTCTCTAAATAAAATACAAAATAGGGCTGGGGATATGGTTCAGTGGTCAAATGCCCCTGAGTTCAATCCCTGGTACCACATCCCCCCAAAAATATAAAAGATTGACTATAACTAATGTTAACAAGCACATCACATTTGGTCCAGATATTCTATTTTGGGGAATGTAACCTAGAGAAATGGTAACATATTTTGTTCATGTGCCCCAAAAGATAAATGTATAAGGATGTTCCCTGAAGCATAGTCATAATGTATAACTGGGAAGAGTTAACTATCCATCAGAAGAGAAGTAGTAAATAAATTACCGTACACCGAGCCTACAGAATACTCTGCAATCATTCAAAATGATAAAGTAGATTTCTACATACCGTTATGGAATACTGAATTCTAAGACACAGTAGCTCCCCCTATCAGTAGTGGGTACATTCCAAGACCTACAGAATACCTCAAACTGTGGCTGGTACCAAACAAACCCCATATATGCTGTTTTTCCTTATACATAAGATAAAGTTTTAATTTATAAATTGGCCACAATAAGAAAACAACTGATAATAGAACAATTTTGATAGTGTGATAAAAGTTATGTGAATGTGGTCTTTCTCTTACTCTCAAAATATCTACTGTATTGTACTTATCCTTTCTTGTTGACTATGAGTAACTCAACTGTGGATGATGGGGGACTACTCTATAATATAATGTGGTAAAAAGAAAGAAAACAATAGCTGTTCCATGGCATAATTTGTATTTATAATTGTATGTACATATAGCCACACATCATGTAATGGTGTTTTGCCTTTTTTTTTTTTTGGGGGGGGGGGGGTAACCAGGAATTGAACTCAGGAGCACTTGACCACTGAGCCACATCCTTAGCCCTAATTTTGTATTTTAGAGATAGGGTTTGAGTTGTTTAGCGCCTCGCTTTCTCTGAGGCTGGCTTTGAATTTGCAATCCTCCTCAGCCTCCCAAGTCGCTGGGATTACAGGCCTGCACCACCAGCCCAGCAACTGTGTATACACTAGTGTCGCTTATATCCTAATGATATTATTGCCAAGTGTACTTATACAAACTAAGATGGCAATAATATCACTAAGTACACTCTATGATATCTACAGTGATGAAACTAAATAACACATTCCTCAAAACATATTGGTATTGAGCATAAATGACTGTATATACGTCCAAACACAGTTTGGCTATATTCCAAGCAGTCAATGGGGCTATCTCTAGGAAGGAAGAAAAATTCCATATTTCACTCTGTATGCTTTTTATAATAGTAAATAGTCATTCATTACTTGTATAATTATTTTAGATAAATAAACCAAAATAATTTTATTTGGGAAGTAGCATTTAGGTTAAGTGATTCTTTGTTCCCTCTTGTTCATTATATAATTTTTAATATGAAAGTGAATACTTTCTAGATAAATTATATCAGGTGCTTATAACTGATGATGATGGACATAAGGAACTACATTGGCTTTCTGTATGCTCCAAGGATACAGGCCCAGCTCTTGTAACTAAAGCTTTCCAGGTATGCTTCTGTTGTGAAGGCTGAACCACACTGTATGCACCAGGGCAATTGTTATGACATGTTAGATTCAAAGACAACACCCAAATCTCATTAAGATCTCTTACTTTTGAAAGAGGTAGTCTTTTTGAAAAGTAATCCATTCTTCTATTCTAAATTCTATTTGTTATCAGCATATTTAGTATAAATCTATTATAATTCTATTATTCATTATTATATGATGTAAAATTATAAATGAGTGAGTTATGATTCTATATGGTCTCCTACCATTATTTGGCCTCCCCACCCAAAGGGATATGAGAGGTCATATTAAAAAAGCAACAAAGGCAGGAAACC